CTGAATACAATGACATCAAATGAGCTTACTTGTTGGATATTCCCAGTTTTTCCCATTTATTAACCAATCAGCCATGTCCAGACTAATACTTCTCTGTATATTTGGACTGTAGCTTCTAGAAGAGGGGGATGATGTGAAAGGTCGATCTACATTGAGGTCAAAATTAGAACTTCCGGTGCAGGTAATTTTGGTGAATTTCTTTGCTGTCCTTAATTCAGTGCTTTCCCGAGTTGGATAACTTTGTTTGAGCTCTCTTTTCTTAATATGATATGAAGCATTAGTGGCTCCAAAATTGAGGCGTTTATGATGCTACTCTTTCTCCCTTTTACCGATTGTTACTATCTGATGCTACTTTTTCTCCTTTTTTTCCTTATCGTCTTTTGTCCCCCTCATCTTTCTTTCTCCCCCCTCTTTCTTCTTCTTCTTTTTTTCCTTTTCTTCTTTTCCACCTTATCTTGAGCCGAGGGTCTATCGGAAACGGCCTCTCTACCTCCCAGGTAGGGGTAAGGTCTGCGTACGCACTACCCTCCCAAGACCCCACTTGTGGGATTATACTGGGTATGTTGTTGTTGTTGTTGTTGTTGTTGTATGTAACTCTTCTAGGTCTAATGTCTTTTTTTTTCCCATATGTATTGTGGATTTGCATTCTCAATGGCAAGTTGAATAAATTGTTTAAAGCAATAGTTATAATCACATTATAGTTTGATTTGTTATTCCTTTTTTCTGATAAGTAAGATATGTTATTTCTTTTATATGTGGAGGTTGTTGGGAGCCATAAATAGAATAAAAGAAAATCTCTTTCTACCCTTGATTTGTAACAATAAACTTCTTACTGCCAAGAATGCTTTATGTGCATGAACTTTGTACTCATAATTATACCTTCTTCCTGAGTGTTGTGGGAAATGTCTTTTTAGTGCATATTAGATCATGAATCTCTTGATGAATGAGAGTCTGACAGTATAAAGGTTTTGCGCTAGTGTGATACTGTTACTAGCTTATTATCTTGCTTGTCCGTCTTTGCTATTCTTTTTGCTTGAAAGAATGCTCGTAGACTAGAGGTCAAAATGAAGTGCCAAAAAAGTTTACTTTAGTAGTATGGTTTTGTGATTGAATTTCATAATTCTATTTGGTCTTCTCTCTTGATCATGAATTATATTCTTCCAGGCAGTACTCAATTTGCAAGTCCCTGTGGAGCACTCTAAGGAAGTCAGTGATTGCAAGCATCTGATTAAAACCTTGGTTATGGGTAACAATTCACTAACATTACCCTGTTCATCATGGCTGTTAGATGAACCATCTTGCTCTATTTTAATTTGAGTTGGTCTGCTCTTTTTCATTGTGACTAGTCACCTTTACGTCTTTCAGGAATGAAAACCATAATATGGAGCATCACCCATGCGCATTTGCCGCGATCACAGGTATAGAACATTAACTGTGCCTGGTGTTTCACCATCATAATTCTACTTTTCTTATGTGGTCCAACTGGTTTTAGGTTTCGGCATCCACCCAGGGAACGCCTCCTCAAGTTCTTGCCTCAGCATCAACTACTTCATCAGTACCTCAACCTTTTAAAGGAATGAGAGAAGACGAGGTATTATGCTAATGCAGCATTTGATCTTGCCTAGTGGCTCAACTGCATCACTTTAATCTTTGCCTAGGGAATGCCTGTGGCTGAGGAACTCTGCAACTCACTTCATGTTTCACTGTTGGTAGGTTTGGAAAGCTTCTGGTGTGCTTAAAAGTGGTGTTCATTGCTTGGCATTATTCAAGGAGAAGGACGAAGAGAGAGAAATGATCCACCTTTTTTCCCAGATTTTGGCTATTATGGAACCACGAGATTTGATGGACATGTTCTCCTTATGCATGCCTGAATTGTTTGAGTGCATGATTTCTAACACACAGTTAGTCCACATATTTTCAACCCTATTGCAAGCACCAAAAGTTTTCAGACCATTTGCAGATGTCCTGGTTAACTTCCTTGTAAGCAGCAAACTTGATGTCCTTAAGCATCCAGATTCACCTGCAGCAAAGCTAGTTTTGCATCTTTTTCGGTTTTTGTTTGGTGCTGTCGCAAAGGCTCCTTCAGATTGTGAGCGCATACTGCAACCTCATGTGCATGTTATTATGGAAACTTGCATGAAAAATGCATCCGAGATTGAAAAACCCATTGGTTATTTGCAACTCCTTCGTACAATGTTCCGTGCCCTTGCAGGAGGAAAATTTGAACTTCTATTGCGTGACTTGATTCCTATGCTGCAACCCTGTTTGAATATGCTATTGGCTTTGCTTGAGGGGCCTAATGGTGAAGATATGCGGGAGCTTCTGCTGGAGCTTTGCTTGACCCTTCCTGCACGATTAAGTTCACTGTTACCTCACCTTCCTCGCCTGATGAAGCCTCTTGTTATGTGTCTTAAAGGTAGTGATGACCTAGTGAGTCTTGGTTTAAGAACACTTGAGTTTTGGATTGATAGTCTGAATCCTGATTTTTTGGAACCAAGCATGGCAAATGTCATGTCCGAGGTGATTTTGGCATTATGGTCTCATTTGAGGCCTGCACCTTATCCTTGGGGTGGGAAGTCTCTGCAGCTCCTTGGAAAGTTAGGTGGGCGTAATAGGCGTTTTCTCAAAGAACCTCTTGCTCTTGAATGCAAGGAAAATCCTGAGCATGGGCTTCGTGTGATCCTTACATTTGAACCGTCCACCCCATTTTTGGTGCCTTTAGATCGTTGTATAAATCTTGCGGTGGCTGCTGTCATGCAAAGAAGTGTCATTGTGGATGCTTTCTACAGAAAACAAGCTCTGAAATTTCTTCGTGTATCCTTGTCCTCTCAGCTTAATCTTCCTGGTAGCGCTACTGATGATGGATTGACTTCTAGGATGCTATCGACCTTGTTAGTTTCCTCAGTTGATCCATCTTGGAGAAGATCAGAGACATCTGATATAAAGGTTCGTGATATAACTTAGTTGTTGTGTTTATTCCAAAAAACCTGTTGATTACTTTATTGCTGGTAATGCGTTTATCCTGTGTTGCTGGCTACATCAATATCAGAAATTTATCTGATCACGTAGTTGCCTGAGAGTAAGGAAGATTTCAGGGTAACCTCTTATCTTATTTCCATCTGAATTCAAATTAATGATATTGAAACTGCCTTGCTTCTAGGCTGACCTGGGTGTCAAGACAAAGACTCAACTCCTTGCTGAAAGATCTGTTTTTAAAATTCTTCTTATGACCATTATCGCGGCAAGTGCTGAAGCGGATCTGCATGATTCCAAGGATGAATATGTCATTAGCATCTGTCGACATTTTGCCATTGTATTTCATATAGAAAGCTCTGCCGCCCATGGTTCTCTTTCAGTTACTCCAGTTGGTGCCTCTGTGCTTTCATCTAGCACCAGCATTAGTGCAAAGTCAAGATATAGTACTTCTTCCAACCTGAAAGAGTTGGACCCTCTTATATTTTTGGATGCTTTGGTGGATGTCCTGGCGGATGAAAATAGACTGCATGCCAAGGCAGCTTTAAATGCACTAAATGTGTTTGCTGAGACCCTTCTTTTCCTTGCTCGCTCGAAACATTCAGATGTGTTGATGTCAAGAGGAGGTCCTGCCACACCTATGATTGTCTCAAGCCCATCAATGAGTCCTGTATATTCTCCACCTCCTAGTGTTCGTGTCCCTGTGTTTGAGCAGCTTCTGCCCCGTCTTCTGCATTGTTGCTTTGGATGTACATGGCAAGCACAAATGGGGGGAGTCATGGGGCTTGGTGCTTTAGTTGGGAAAGTCACTGTTGAAACTCTGTGTGCTTTCCAAGTTCGTATCGTGCGGGGACTTGTTTATGTCCTCAAGAGACTTCCTGTTTATGCCACTAAAGAGCAAGACGAGACCAGCCAGGTGCTTACACAAGTTCTTCGTGTGGTGAATAATGTTGATGAAGCAAATAGTGAAGCACGGAGGCAAAGCTTCCAAGGAGTTGTTGAATACTTCGCATCAGAGTTGTTTAATCCTAATGTGTCTATTAATGTGAGGAAGATTGTGCAGTCTTGTTTAGCACTTTTGGCAAGCAGGACTGGTAGTGAGGTTTCTGAGTTGCTTGAACCCTTATACCAACCTTTGCTTCAGCCTCTTATACTACGTCCATTACGGTCAAAGACTGTTGATCAACAGGTGATGTTTTGTTGGTAGAGTTGTTATAATCATTTTCTTGCTTGCTGAACTAATCATCTTGTATCTTCAGGTGGGGACTGTTACAGCTTTGAACTTTTGCTTGGCCTTGAGACCTCCACTTCTAAAGTTGACTCAGGAGCTGATCAATTTCCTGCAAGAAGCATTGCAAATAGCTGAGGCTGATGAAACAGTATGGGTTATGAAATTTATGAATCCTAAGGTAGCAACCTCGTTAAACAAACTGCGCACAGCCTGCATTGAATTACTCTGCACTGCTATGGCGTGGGCCGATTTTAAAACCCAAAATCAATCTGAGTTGCGTTCAAAAATTATTTCAATGTTCTTCAAGTCTCTGACAAGCAGAAATTTAGAAATTGTAGCTGTTGCAAAGGAAGGGTTGCGACAGGTTGGTTTTAGCTCTCTGAAATCAGAGTCTCTTTTTATTCCATCATCACTTACTGATATTCTATTCTTCCATGCTCAAGGCTTATTACTGGATCTGATGTCATTTGGTTACAGTTGCGTTCCCTTGCACATTTCTTTACTGTTGACGTTGGGAGAAAAAATAACTCGTTATAGTATTTAGTTTGCAGGACTGTAAATACAAATTGACAAAAACTCGATGAAGTTAGGGTTGCAAGAGGATTGATTTTTGTGCACGCATAGAACATTGAATGTTGTATTTGAAGGCATTTTCGAGCATGTTTTAAACATTAGGTTCTCATCATTTACTCCCTAAGAGGATAACGGACACCTGCTTAGCAGGATGCTTTTTTTTTTCTCTGTTGAATGATATAACTGTTCGGTCAATTCATTTCTTCATTAGTTCTAATTTGGTCTTTCCTTCATGGTATCTTTGTTATGTAGGTCATACAACAGCAAAGGATGCCAAAAGAACTTCTACAAAGTAGTCTTAGACCTATATTGGTTAACTTGGCCCACACTAAAAATCTCAGCATGCCTCTTCTTCAAGGTTTGGCCCGCTTGCTTGAACTTCTGTCCAATTGGTTTAATGTGACCTTAGGTGGCAAGTTACTGGAGCATCTTAGGAAATGGTTGGAACCTGAAAAGCTAGCACAGTGCCAAAAGTCGTGGAAGGCTGGAGAGGAACCAAAAATAGCTGCTGGTAGGATACAGCTTTGCTCCTAATAATCACACGGGCTGAGTGAATATACTTTTGTTTTTGACATGTATTTCTCCTTATGGATGCAGCTATTATCGAACTCTTCCACCTGCTTCCCTCTGCAGCTGGGAAGTTTCTGGATGAGCTTGTGACGTTGACTATAGATTTGGAAGCAGCCCTTCCACCTGGGCAGTTTTACAGTGAGATTAACAGTCCGTATAGGCTGCCATTGACCAAGTTCCTGAATCGGTATCCAACTGCTGCTGTTGATTACTTTCTTGCTCGATTATGTCAACCTAAATACTTCAGGCGGTAAGTAGAATACTTGTTGAAATTGCATTCTCATGGTTCCATTATGAGCAGTTATGCAGATTTTTTGCTTCCATGGTTTTCTGATACAACCCATTAAAATACCACCAGTGGGGTCTGGGGAGGGTAGAGTGTACGCAGAACTTACCCCTACCCCAGAGGGGGTAGAGAGGCTGTTTCCTGATATGCTTCCATGGTTTTCTGATATGGTTCATAAATTTGCAGGTTTATGTACATCATAAGGTCAGATGTTGGACAACCTCTAAGAGAAGAACTTGCAAAATCACCAGAAAAGATAATTGCAAGTGCCTTTCCTGAATTTATTACCAAATCTGATGCACCTGCTGGACAAGAATCTTTGAGTCGGCCAAGCACTTCAACTGGTGATGAAGGCCTTGCTGCTGCTCAAGCCGAGGCTTCTGTCCCTTCAGTTTCAACCAATGTGGCATCTCAGGATGCTTATTTCCAGGGTCTTGCCTTGGTGAAAACTTTGGTCAAGTTGATGCCTAACTGGTTACAGAACAATCGTGTTGTCTTTGATACGCTGGTACTGATGTGGAAGTCACCAGCAAGAATCTCCCGTCTGCAAAATGAACAGGAATTAAACTTAGTGCAGGCAAGTTGTGTTGCATTTTCGTGCAAACTGGTATTTGTAGTCTTCATTACATAATCATCCCTGGATAATTGTTTCTTTCCGAAGTGCTTGTTCAATATGCATGAAAAACTTTATCTCATTGGTTGCTTCATAGAATCGAAACCTAGCTCTGTGAATTCTGCTTTTGATATTTGAGATCTTTGTGTGCGACTTTGGCCGTTTTTACCCATTTTGTTCCTTCTCATGCTGTTTTTGTTGAAATAATAATTAGTTTCCTCAATCTATCGGGGAAAGGAGGATGATTTACCTTTTATTGTCATGCCACTTAAATAGTCAAGAAATTTTTTTCTTATTGCTGGCAGATAATTGCATTATTTCTGAGGTTCCAAAACTATTGTTTTTTTTTTTCATTATATTGCCAAGTTCTCCTAATTGTGCTTCTGTTTTGGCATATATTCAGGCCATTGTTTTATTTATATTTTTGTTTATCACATGAGTTTCCTGCTAAATTATGGGATAAAAATTTGCAGGTCAAAGAGAGCAAATGGCTTGTCAAATGCTTCCTGAATTATTTGCGACATGATAAAACTGAAATCAATGTTCTGTTTGATATCCTTTCCATCTTCCTCTTTCGTACTCGTATAGACTTTACCTTCTTGAAGGAGTTCTATATCATTGAGGTATGTTTGTAATGCTGCTATCTGTCTATCAAGTTCTTTTCTCTAGATGGAAGTGTTTGTTTTGATAACTCATTGTGGCTTGCCATTAAGGTTGCTGAAGGATATCCATCCAACATGAAGAGAACCCTGCTCCTGCATTTTTTGAACCTTTTCCAATCGAGACAACTTGGTCTTGATCATTTGGTGGTTGTAATGCAAATGCTTATTCTTCCAATGCTTGCTCATGCATTTCAGAATGGTCAGACTTGGGATGTAGTTGACTCTGCTATAATTAAGACTATTGTTGACAAGCTTCTTGACCCTCCTGAAGAGGTAAATGATTGCATCTCTTTATGTTCGTATATCCTTCATTTTCTTTTACTGATAATTTTATGCTGATTTTGGGTATATTTCATTTTCTTTCCTGATTTATCTTTGTAGGTCTCTGCTGATTATGATGAGCCTTTGAGGATAGAGCTTTTGCAACTCGCTACTCTCCTTCTCAAGTATCTGCAGACGGACCTTGTTCATCATCGGAAGGAACTTNTTTATGCTGATTTTGGGTATATTTCATTTTCTTTCCTGATTTATCTTTGTAGGTCTCTGCTGATTATGATGA